TTTGCGAATATATATGTCAAATGATAGGGTTTTATGAACTTATTATTAATAGATAGAAAATTTTTCACTAAAAAAATATTTGTCGGAAAACTCAGATATATGTCTGCCCTCAAGAATTGAAAAATTCACCTTTTTAGGTATTGATCGGTCGATTTGACCGATGCGCACAACAATTTATAGGACAACCTATTGGTATACTTATGGAGCTTGGTGGCATACAGTTTCATAGAGAGTTACACGGTTGGTCGTCTTTGCTTTCAGGAACAGTGAAGAAGACATTAAAATATCCATAAAAACTAAAAATTATAGAAGCTATTAAAAATGCTAAGGTTTTAGAAATAAAGAAAGCTATTGTGAGTATTATAAGATATGCATAATTGAAGTAACTTTCAACAAAATTTGATATAAGTTGGTTTGAAGACATACTAATTTGACGAATAAGCAATTTTCTATATATCATTTGATGCCTCGTAAATTGTTCTACAAAACGATATAGATGACTTCTTCAAATGAATGATGATTATCTTATTTGACAGAATCCTTTAATCATTAATAATAAACATACTCGTTCAAACCGATTGCCTTTCGCCTGTTGATTTTCTTCAACTGCAGCATCATCCAAATTAAAAACTGAACGAAGAAATCCATTTTCTTTTAAATGCACATTCATACCAGTGCCTAATAAATTACTAAAACCATTATAATAAAGACGTCCTGTCCATGATGTTATTTCTAATACTTCTCGACCAAATTTAATTGTAAATTCAGGTGATGTACCTTCCTATTCAAAGAAAAAAGAAACATATCAAATTTAATTTAAAAAAAAAACTTTATTGTTTTTTTGTTATACTTCAAATGAATTATATATTTCACGAAAAGTAGCACGTTGTAAACGTTTTTCTTTTTTGCCTTTATATTTTACACTTTCATTTGCTTTTTTATCTAATGTTTTTAATAATGATTCAGGTGGATCAGCAAAAACCTAAATAAAATATTAGAAATTATTTCTCGTTTTTCTTTTTTTTTTTATTTACATACACTATTAATATCTCGTGCTATTTCATATAAAACAGCAATTGTTTCACCAGCTTGATTGCGTAAATCAGCATCACTTGATTCAATAAGTCCAGGAATTTTTTCCGGTGCATAACTAAACAGATTATAAAATTACATTCAGAGGCAGCGCGATCGGAAGAGAACAGTCTACTTTTAAAAATTTTGACGATAGCTTTCTTTTGTTTTGGAGAAAATTTCTAGAACCTTCGAACGTAACGAAATTCTCTATCGCCTTTGTCAGTAAAAGCGGTTTGTCTATTTTTTGGAAAACTCAATACACTAAGTTTCAAAATTTATCATGAAATACGATATTCATCGCTTTGGCTAATAGCAGTCGCAAGCATGGCTGCCTTCAGCGACGAAAAAAGATTCAAAAACGTTTCCACTACAAAGAGCTATAAGACAAGCAAGAATATTGTCGGAGTCTAAACAGTAGATGGTTTGTGTTCTATGTAAATTTATGAAATTGTTTCAATGCTAGAAGCTCATCAAGTCTGGAACCAATCCGACGACCTTTACACAAATTTTGAGTTTTATGTAAAAGTTCGTCGAAGCGACAACATTTTTGGCACATTTTTAACTGCCAGAAAATGTCCCTAAGTAATAAATTGCTTTTGAACTGGGACTATATTCAATCGATAGGGCCTATTGAGTTGGTAAATATCCTAGAGTGGCTCAAACTAGTGAGTCTTTAGTATTGAAATTTCAAGCATTTAGTGGATTCTTCCTTTAGGGTCGCAGTTTTCTAGCAAAACCATACTTTTGAATTTTTACCTGAAACTTTACCTGCATAAAGGCACCGGTTAAACTAGCTTATAGAAAAACTTTCAGAAGTTTTTTTTTACTAAGTCTTTCCAAGATATGAATTTTTCAAAATATCCATATCTAAGAGAGACTTCATGAAAAATTTTGAAATTTTTTTGACAAGCTATCCTAATCGATGCTTTTATATAAGCAAGATTTCAGGTCAAAATTTAAAAGTATAATTTCACCTTAAAACTAATGTCCTACAGGAAAAATCCACTAAAAATTCGATATCTTAGCAACAAATACCCAGCAGCTCGAATTACTGTAGAATATTTACTGACTCACTAGACTCTATTGATTGAATATAGTTTCAGCTAAAAAGCGATTTATCACTTGCGAACCTTCCCTTATCAGTTTCGACTGATTCGAATAAATTTTCTTTCATTTTCGGAAATATGTCCTTCTGCTTTGACTTCTTCGCGCTGTCCCCTACTAATCAAATTAATTTACATTCGTATTAAATCATGTGCATGATTATTAGGCATTGTTGATACAAGAAGACACCAAGATGAAAGTGCAGCTGCATGTAATTCTTGAAGATCACGTGTTACAATAGGTATAGTTCCATCTTTAAGTACATATGATTTCGAAAAGATTATTTCTAATGATTTCATTAAATCAACTGAAGACTAAAAGAAAAAAATTGAAAATAGAAATCAATATTTTAATTCAATTATTAATTTATTCTTACAGCAATATCTTCACAACCAATAAAACAAACTATACCAATTGTTTGAGCATACTATACATAAAACAAAACAAAACAAATATATATATATATATAGTTTTATAAATAAAATAAACATACACGTGTTCTTAATGATGAAGATTTAGTTTCATCTCGTAATATTGGCATAATAGCATCACGAAATTTTTGAAATAACTCATCATTAGATTCACCAAGTTGAATAAAAAATAATGAAGTAACAATAGCTGCTAATTTTCCTTCGGATTCATTTCCTTTTTTTAAACATGATATTAATTGTTCAATTATATTTTCACTTCTAAAAAATTAATTAATTAATATTTATATATTTTCATATAAATATAATTTATACCGATTAGCAACTTGATCTGGAAGATATTTTTGTGAAAATAAAGCTTGAAGTGTACATAAACCATGTTCACGTGTTTTTAAACTAAAATTTAAAAACAAAAAAATTCATTAAAATTTTTATTTTTAACGGATGTCTCAAAATAAATGAACCTTTTAACATTTAATCAATATCTTCGTCAATGTCCATTACTTTGACTTAAAATTTTTATCAAAAGATTCCTCGTTCAATTCTCTATAAACACATATTATATGAAAAACTGACAGCCTAACATTTTACACTGAAATGACAGATTTTGTAAATTTAGCTCTATTTTCTCCTCTCATTAGATATGCACTTAGTCACGTTAGTTGAAGTTATTTGGAAAGCATAATGATGCATACATCCCGAAAGGCGATTATAAGGTTTTGACTTCATTAGAGGAAGTCTTTCTCTCCTAACTTATATACTTCCTCTGATAAAGTCAAAACTCGCCGTGAAACTTATAGTCACCTTTCTTACAGAACGATGCAAAATCGCTGAAGTTCGTATTTTTTAGTAGGTACTATTTTTTAACTTTAATAAAGTTTGTGTCATAACGACATTCGTACAGGTTGTGAATCATGAGTAAAGAAAAAAAAACAACTCGATCTTTTTTACTTAGCGAAAGTATAAAGTTAAATTTATCTTAATTATAATTATAGTTTAAGGAATAAATCTCATATAAATTACATGAAAAAGAAATATATAACTTCTAGTTGGATTATAATTATATTGCAAATAAGGATTTTACTGAAACCTAAATGAAAGATAAAGTTTACTTGGATTATAAATACATAGTAGAAGCTGATGTATTTATCCGTTGATAACTAACCTTTTTTTTCAGCATGAACATGTGGGTGCAGGTAAATAGAAGACCTACGTCCTATACTCATAATACATGTCAATAATTGTTATTCACCTACCTATCTTCTTCCTTCGAACAAGAATACTTTCTTTGCAAAGAAAACTCTATTAGGCATACCAACTCATATTCTTATCTCACACTTTTTTTCATGAAATTTAAATTTCATACCAGACTGCTTCGTAAGTTGGGCAAATAGATCATTTGTTTTTCAAAACAGTGACAACATTTGAACGTAAAAAGTTAGTTTAAAACATATAGACACAGAAATTTTTCAAAATGATGTTAAGTTTTTATCGAAATATTTACACACGAAAAAATCTGATTGTACGCTAATCAAGTATACAAATAAAATTCGATTTACTATGCAAAAAGAGCTTCTAAATAGATGATTAGATGTATTCGTATCTGGTACGTCCGACAGCTAAGGGAATAAAAAACTACAAAATAATATGACGTACGCGTCTTACAATCTTCAACTCGGCATGTTTCATTGTTAATTTTTATACTGAAATATTTCAAATGCATTTGTAGAGAACTGAACGTAGAATATTTTAGTAAAAAAGTTCAAGCCGAAGTAACGTACTTCAACGAAGATATTAATAAAATGCTGGAAAATGCCCGCTTATTCTAGGACTAGAGTTCGTCGAGTTGGACTCGAACGGCTCTATCTAAGATATATATTAAATCTTCTTACTCTTTATTTCGAAGTTCTTCAATTGCAGAATCAAGTTTTTCATCAAGATTATCCGATGATAAAATCACTGTAGTTGCTGCATTAAGACCAGCTACAAAACAAAATCTATCAATTGAAATAATTCCTCTTCATTCTTTTTTTTACCTTCAATTTCATCATAAATACTCGTTGCATCAGAAATATTTGAACAAACACTCATATCCTCATCAGCTAGCACTTCATCATCCACATCTGTTCTAGACGTTTTAATTGGTGCATTACGCGAATGACGATCTCAAATATCAACATATTATTTTCTATAAATTTTTTTTTATAAAAAAAAAAACAATATTTACCTTTTCTTAAATGTTTCGGCATAATTTAATTCTTATTCATACATATCTACAACAAGAACAAAAAGAAAGGAAAAAAACACATCCTAGCGTTCGTTTTTTATTTTATAAAAAAAAAAAAAAAAACTTCGATTCTGGTTTAATCAGTTTTTCATTTTCTGTTTTTTCTTTTAAAATAATCGATCTTGTTTATCCATAGCTAAATGTGGATCTATTTGATGTTCACCAAATTCATATGGATTATTTAATATATCCTCAAATGAAATATCTTCATTTGTACCACGTAATACATCAACCATCAAACGTGAACTTGGTAAACATGGAAGACGACCAAGTTTATTTGCTATTTGTAATTCTGTTTTTAATTTTAATGGTGCTTGTATACCTAAAACACTACGTGCCATATGATGATGAAATGTATCATTTTTTTCAATAAATATTTTTTCAGATTTTTCAAGAATATGACCAGTTGTTAATGTTGATTTAACTGATGTTAAACCTTGAAAAAGTTTATTTGGTAAACCAGTATAACTTGATGAATCCATCTAGACAAAAAAAAAATAACACATGATTTAATTAATAAAAAAATCCATGATTCACTTTTATTCAATAGTAATTAAACACGCTATTACAAATATGACAATCTAAATAAAAAAGAGAAACATTTACAAAACAAAAAACAAAAAACAAAAAGAATTAATTTCAATCCGTTGACTAAAAGATATCGTACTTGATCAGACAGAGGTAAGGAAAAGACGACAACGGCAAGCAAGTAAAAATAAAACTATGTCAGAAGAAAAGAACCAATCAATGCTTGTTAGAGTATGTATTCATTAGTGACCTCTAATGGATTTAATATCGAAGGAAAACGGAGGTTTGCTAGCGTTATATTTTAAAAATATGGTTTAGAATCTATGTTTGATATAATCAAATCAAATGTTTTATTTTAGTTTTCATTGTTTGTTGAATAGATAATCTTGAGATTTTTGAATGATTTATCATATGAGTGGATTAATGTAGAAATATCGAGAGAGAGACAATGCAAGATCAATTCTGATAATTAATTATTAGATATTAAGGAAATTTTTTAAAATTTAATTGAGTCCTTTCTTTTTTCGCAAATACACTCATATACAATCAAAACTATTAAAGTTTTACTCAAACACATTAAAGATCTTTATCAATTTAGATTCCATTCGAATTCTGAGACAGCCATTGGTGTTTCAAGCGAGGGGATCATCCTTCAATCTTTTAGCAACAATCTTCTGATTAGCCTCGTCAGTCACGACCTTCCCTTCAATGCTGGCGGCTTCGAGACACTCCTGATATTAACTTATGTTCTTGTAGCTCTATGAGAATATTATGAATTGAATTTTCAGTCATTGATTGTAGTATTTTATACCATCACCATATTGATCGAGTCTATAATGAAAATAAACAATGTAATTATGAGATGATATTAGGTTTGATTGATCAAAAGGAAAATATTTTTCATGAAAGTCTAATGTCTTAAAGTATTTCTATCTAACTCTATTTGTTTAGTTCTTATCATATGCTTCATTTTGATAATCTTTCAACCGATAATTTTCATTAATTCTATTATATAAATTACAAATATCGATATAATAGAGGTGAAGAATCTGCCGCCAAAAATAAAAGCTTTCAACAAACGAAAATAAATTCTTGAAGAAGTTTTCTCTGCTATTAAAATAAATGAAAAGTCGGATTCTATTTTTCACTTGCACATTCGAAGAAAGCAAAATAGAAATTAGTCTACTTAGTACTCAAAAAGACGATATAAAATAGTAATTTCTATCAACCAGCAATTAATAAAAGCTGTGTATGAAGCTTATGGTCTTATTACTACACGAGAAACATTTCTTTATCCGAATTACTAAATGAAAAAAAGTTTTCTACAACGAATTATTTTCGAAAATTTCCATAAATCAAAAACGTGTTCTTCAACGCGCATTGACGCACACTAATAGATTTTGTACGTCTGTGATATAATTAAATGAATATGTGTACACTTTGATTTCTTCAATCATTTATTAAACCATCCCAAAATGTCATCGTACTCGTCTTTGTCATTATCTACCATGCTGAGTAAACGCCGATACATTTTCCCTATTCAATCATATTTGTTCGTCAGGGTGTAATACAATTCTAAACGAATGAAACTCAACTACCTCATTATTGCATTCATACGATTACTTCATAATGACATGAGTACATTCTGATTGTTCATATTTGTTTCTTATTATCTTGATGAACATTGATCAAATGAACGATATATTCAATCATAAATAAAGCTTTCGATTTTTCAACAAAGGGATAAAATGTATTGATCTCTGCAAACGGTTTTGTTTTTACTTCATGAAGATCACCTTCAATATAAATAATATCGGCTGAAAAATCATCGCAAATATTCGAACTATTCACAAATATTAAGGTTTTATAATGATTTATACTACTCCAAAAAATTAATGAATTGATTATTGAAGGCTTTCCATTTCGTCATTCGACATCACAAGAGATCCGAGCCAATTATAGGTACTGATTCCGTTTCTATTGTCAATAAATGCTATCGATCACAAAAAACAACTCATGTACTACTATAAAGCTTTGTCTGAAAAATATTTAGTTGAATGTTATGACTTTGATATTCATTTTGTTAAAGTGTAATCAGTTTTTTTGTTTATCTTTTTCAATTGATCACACTCCAAAAAGAATATTGATAAGAACAAGATACTGAATAAAATGATTATTAAATTCAATTGTTAATTGATCGTGACTGACATTTACCGTATAAAAATTGATCGGAAACAGTTCTGCAACTTATAATTAACTTTTCTAATCTATTTTCATTTGAATAATGCTATCACGAAGTCAAACTATATATAGTCTCTATTTAAAGGATGAAAAAATTTTTAGAAAAAAAATCAATCTGAGAAATGTCATAATTTAGAAAAGACTTAGACCTCGATCTTATTGAGAAGAATTAGTGAATTATGAACACAACAAAACTTCAGCATGCAAAAAAATGAAGAGAAGGCTAACACTCATACCCACATTCAAGACCGGTACATAACAAGAGCTGATTATCATCTATAGTCGGATTCAATGTACATGGAACGGCCATTGACTATTTCAATCGACCTGTGTACAGCAGAAATAAGTGTTATATGCCTAACTCTACTAGGGGTTATTTTCGGTTGCCTTATGCGACAGTTTAATATAGAAGAAATTAAATTTCTCGAAAGGATCAGTTTCAACAATTATCGACCTTCCTTGTTTATCATTATCAACAAAACAAAATCTTTTTTTCAATTAAATATTCAATAAAGCAAACTAAAGTGTCCACCGTTTTTTTTCTAACTCATAATTGAGCTAAATTTATTAAATCATGTCATGTATTATAATACATTATTTTCAGAAAACTAAGACAATATTCAAACACACAAGAACACATAAGACAACAACGAAGAAAAAACAAAATATAACTACAATATATTATTCAGCTTATTTTTCAATCAATATAAGCAACAAAACTAAATCTAACATAGATAAACAAACAAGTTAATAACTCAAGCTCAATAGAATATACATGAATATCTGTACAAAATATACAAAACAAACGTCTGGAGTAAATAATTGATTATTAACAATAAAATGCAATAATATAATAAAAAATAAATTGAACTATTAAACAAGAAATCTATTTCTTGTGGCGGCGGGTTCTCTTAACGATTGGTGTTTCAACTTGTTTTTGTTCTAGAACGACAACAATTAAATGAAAACAATATTCTCATTTAAATTAAATCTTACCTTTAAGTAAATTTGTTTCTAGTTTAATAAGTAAAGCGATAAGATCAGCTTTCTTTGCACCTTTTGGTATATTTTCCTTATGTTTATTTAATCGAGATTTAAGTTCAGCAACAGTTAATTCTTCAATCTATTTAATACAAATAAATTCAATATTAAAATAATAACAAAAAAAAAACAAATTTTCTTTACTTTTTGGCGTTCTTCTTGATTTAATTCAATATTTTGAATTTCAATTTTCTTTTTTAATTCTTCATTTTTTTCAACACTTTCTAGTGGACGTTTTCTTGTTTTTATTATTGATTCAGTAGTTTTTGGTTCAATATTTATTTCTACTGGTCGTTCAATTGATTCAGTTTTCTTCTTTTTCGAAGCATTTGATTCAGATTTTTTGTTTTTTGAAGCACTTCGTTTTTGTTCAATTGGTTCAGGTTTATTTTCCGAAGTACTTGGTTCAGATTTATTCTTTTTCGAGGCACTTCGTGTTTGTTTAACTGATTCAACTTTATTCTTTTCCGAAGTACGTTGTTTTTGTTCAATTGATTCAGCTATATTCTTTTCCGCAGCAGTTGGTTTAGATTGATTCTTTTTCGAAGCAGCTCGTGTTTGTTTAGTTGGTTCAGTTTTAGTCTTTTCCGAAGCAGTTGGTTTAGATTGATTCTTTTTCGAATGATTTCGTTTTTGTTCAATTGGTTCGGATTTATTATTTTTCAAAGCACTTGATTGAGATTTATTCTTTTTCGAAGCACCTCGTGTTTGTTTAACTGGTTCGGCTATATTCTTTTCCGGAGGTGTTGGTTTAGATTGATTCTTTTTCGAAGCACTTTGTTTTTGTTCTGATTTATTTTTTTTATTAGTTTTTGGAGTAGTTGGTGGTTTTGTTTGTCGTTCGATTGATTCAGATTTATGTTTTTTATTATTTGTTGAAATAGTTCGTGTTTTTGATGGAGTCAATGATGGTAAAGGAGCTAAATAAAATATTAGATGAGATATTTGAAGGTTTGTATGTTAAAGATTTACTTTGAATCGGTTTTGAAGTTTTAGTTCGTTTAGCAGCTGGTTCAATTGTTACTTCAACATTTGGTCGTTTTCGTTGTGAATGTTTTTTTTTGGTTGGAGTACTTTTAGGTTTTTTGTTTAAAACTTTGGTTGATGAAAGTCGTTTTAAAGGTTTTTTTACTTGTGATTTTTTATTCTAAATAGAATAACGAAATATAAAAGATTAAAAGAAAAAAAAAAGTAAAACTTACTGATGTAATATTTTTCTTTTTCGTTGTAAATACTTTCTTTTTTGGTTTAGAAATTTTTTTCGTTCGAATAGATTTAACTGGTTTAATAATTTTTTGGTTATGTTCAGATGTAATTGGTCTTGGATGAATGATAATATCCGGTTTTAAACCACGTAAATTTTCTTCAAGTTGTTCTTTTTCAGTTAAACGTGCATCAGTTGTTGGTGTTAATTGAAAACGTACATTACGTTGAAAGCTCATAACCATTTTTGTTTGCATTGGTGATATTTGTTGTTGTTGTTGTTCTTCTTCATGAATCATAATATTTGATATTGATTTATTCATATGAACAATTGGTGTTGTTTGTTGTTCAATTGTATTTAAATAACGACGTGATGAATTATTAAGACTAGGAGTTGTTTGAACACTAGTATCAATTGTACGAATAATTTTTGATTGTTGAATACTTTCTTTGTTATTAGTAATTGGTATTATTGCAATTTCTTGATTATCATTATTTATTTCGTGTGGAACAGTTGTTAGAATTTGTTCTTGTTCACTAATTGAAACCATTTGTAAAGTTTTACGTCGTTTTGTTGTTGATGGTGTTGATGAATGAAGTGGATTAATACTAACTCTTGGTGTTAAATTTGTTGATAAACGTTTACTTTGACGTGTTGATATACGTTTTAATGATGGTCTTATTGATGTTGTTAATGTTTCTTGTAAAACACTTTGTTCATTATCAGTTGGATTTGTTAAAAGAATTCCTAACATTGATTTTGAAGTAATTGATGGAGATTTTGTTATTGATTGAATTGGTGAAAATGTATTTATATTTGTTAATGATTTTTGTTCAATTTCAGTTGGATTTGTTAAAAGAATATTTAACATTGATTTTGATGGTATTGATGGTGATTTATATTCTTCTTCATTTATAATTGTTTGTTCTAATGGAATTGATGAAGAATTTAACATTGAACGACGACGTTGAGATGAACGACGTTTTGGTGTAGTATATGTATATTCACGTGATAATAATGGCATTAATGATTTAATTGGTGTAGAAATTTGTTCAGATTGATTTGACATATTGTGATTAATTTCATCAAATGATTTTGATGAAGTAAGATTTAATGTAAGTGAATTTGTTTTTTCTTGTTCATTTTCATCTTCTTCAAGTACACTAACAATTTCAACAAATTCAGTTTGTTTTTCAAGATTTGTGTTATTTTCATTATTAACAGAACATTCATTATTTTTTGATGATTGTTCTAGACAAAAAAAAAACTGTTAGTACAATCCATACAGAACTAAAATGTAAAACACGATGTAGCTCTTCTTCCTACTCGCAGGAAGCTATTTTAGGAAACAATTTCTTCACCATCTATATCAAGAACTGTAATAAGGAAGAAGTTTATATACGATAGCAAGATGTTATTGATATGCAGTCTGTGATGGTCTCGAACTAGGATTTGTTAGAAGGTATTTCAAACTTTTACTCTTATAGTTCAAAGTATTTTCTATTTATTGAATAATTACCTTGAACAATTGAATTTTGTAATGAAGGATTAGTAGATATACGACGACTACTTGAACGAAGAATACGTGATGCTGGAGCTGATGAACGAGGTTTATCTACAAAAGATATTTGATTTTTATTAAAAATCAGAAAAAAAGGAAGTCTTTTTTTTTACTTGATGTTGCTAATGGTGAATCAGCTTTCACAGGTTGAGATAATCTTGCACTTGATCGTGGTTTAATTAAAGCTCGATAAGCAACATCAGCACATGTTGGTGCACGAATTGTTGTAATTATTGGTTGACTTGGTTCAGGAATATTAATAATTGATTCAGTTTTCGAATTATTAGAAAAATCATTTAATTCAAATGAAAAATTTGCTTCATCATCCGTATTTGTTTTATTTTCACTCATATCAAATGAATTTTGTTGATTTATTGTTGTTGATGGTTGTTCATCTTCAATCGTTGTAGTATTTTCCATAAGAAACGATGGTGGATTTGTTGTATTTATACTTTCAATAGTTGGCATTATTGGAATATCTTGTGATAATGGTAAATTATCAAATGTAGTTTTTGGTGCATAACTCATACGTACGGATGTTGTTGTTGAATTAATAATATCAGTTGGTGTAACAACAGTTAATGAAAGTGTATCATGATTTGTTTTAGGTGATTCACGAATAGTTGTTGTTGATGAACCAAGACCTAATAGATGTTCAAGTGCACGAAATGATTCATCAGATGGTGCAGTTGTTAAAGATTTTTTATCATCATTATCAAGATTTTCTTTATCTAAATCATTTAATTGTAAATCAATATTCATTGATGGTTCAATAATAAATGTTGATGATTTATGCATTAATGATGGTTGATTTAATGGAAGTTCATCATCTTCACTTATTGATGGACTTTCACTTTGTATTGGTGGTAATGTTGAATGTGTTAAAATTATTTGAGATTTTTCTTGAATTATTGAAGTATCATCTTCTTGTTGTACATGATGATCATCAACAATAGTTTGTTCTGTATACCAAACAGGTTGAAGACTGGCATTAATATCATTTATTATTGTTGTTGTTGTTGTTGTACTATCCATTGGTATTTCATCCGGTCCAAGAAGTTTAAGTGGTGTACGTGTCTAATAGAAAAAATTTTTTTTTTCTGTAATTCTATAAAATTCATTTGATTAATTACTTTCGGAAAACTTTCTTTTTGTTCGAGTAAGGCGGTTATTTTTTTTGTAGGTGTTGATGCCATACGATTTGCTGGTTCAATTGGCCCATGACTTAAATCACTAGAATATGAAAACAATTAATACAAAAAGAGAAAATGAAAAAATAAACTTCAACGAACCAAACATAAGGACTTGTAGATGATAAATGTTGTAGCATGATTTTATATAAATTAAATTATTTTTATCATAAAATTTAATCTTGAAAAAAAAAAGAAAAAGAAAACTTTTTATGACGATAAAGAAAAGAGAGGTGATTTCGTTGAACAAAAGTATAGAAAGAAAGAACGGTCATTCAACGAACGAACCAGGTCTTTGTCTAATATGAACGAACGGTCTTTGTTTGTTCCCGGAGAAATGAGTACCAATCAGATAAGTTATTGAATTTCTTTGTTTGAAATGATGTCGCTACAATCAATGTATTTTATACAAGCCTTGTTTTTATTAATGTGTTTCTGTTTTCAAAAGAAAAAAAATTTTTCTTTTATCTATTCAATTTTATTTCAAAAAATAATAGTTTAACACATACTTCAAAATCAGCGCTTTTATTTCTCAATTCATATCGTTCAAGTACTAATATCCATTTAAAAAGAAAGACGGGCGAATATTTTTTGAATAACTTTTGGTAGATATTCGATAGAGCGCTGTGATTCTCACCATTGGAAAGAGGAGACGAATTCACATTGAATTATAGATTATAGGTTTTCCTAAGATATTTTTGAAGTTTTTTTTAAACAATTTTCAAAAAAAGTGCCGGTAAAATAGGTTCTTAATGAAGAAGAAAAGAAAGAGGAAAAAAAATGTTTTTTTTTACGGTCATCGATTGAGAGTTTTGAATAAAATATTTATAACTCTTGAACGCATAAATGCAAAAAATCTCAGAGTTTATGTAATTTTGTAGATCTTTGAATGGACACCTGATAATTGAAAATCTGTAGTATACGATTAGATATATCATCATCACATCTTTCTAATAGAGAAAGCCGCAATTCTCTACGTTGTTTTTATCAAAAATTATTCAAAAAATACTCATCTACCTTTTTTTTGTTGAATGGACATTAGAGTCTACAAGCTCTAAGAATGTTATCTATATTTGTATTCGTACAGTTAAAGGTGAGAATTACATGATATATATATATATATATATATATATTGAAGGATTTTGCATTTTGTCTTTTTCGTACATAACTAATTGGTATTTGTTTGTTGTCACCTTTTGTATATACACATGACATTCTCTACATGAAAAAACATCATTTTGTGCTATATGGGACAACATGACAGGACGTTTTAGGTTGCATAAATGTGCTCAAAATTTTTGTGCCAACTATATGTTTGAACATTGACAGATATTGAATATAAGAAGAATGCTTGCATTTGTTCGCTCATGAGACACATTGATGAATTAGAATAAAAATCAATTAGTAAGATTTGTCGAATAGTTAATGGGTCTTGCAATAAATTACGGCATGATAACAATAAACTCGCACTCAAAACAATGCATATTGTAAAGTCTCTCATTCGAAAACTGAACAATTTTTATACTATCAAATGTTTTTCATGGAAGAAATTTTGATAATACATCATATATTTTTGTAAGCTTTTAATAATTGAAAAAAAGTCATAATGCATAGATTCTGAACATCTTATGGAGCAATACACGTGCCGAAAACGAATACTCATCCATTAGTGGAAGTAAGTTAATTCAGGGCATTATTCTACTGTGGAATTATACTCAAAAGAACACCGATGATAAAATATATTTCATTTTCAACTAGTTCTTATGTATGTATAGAGCATAAGAGTGTTTCGCTAAAGGGTATCATACATCAAAATGAAATGAAAAGTAAAATATAAAAAACTTGAAGACGATTAGATTTACGAGTTTCATCAACAACAAAATCAACTTCTATACCTATATGTCGACATAAATACATCGTAGTTATACTATAAAGTCTTGCTTTTGACATTGTTTTATATGATTTTTTGGACAGAAGAACCTATTCTAAATAAATATTCACATTTACTTGCAAGATGACGAGTGCTGAATTTTATTGAAACCACTGAAGTGATTTATCATATGCTCTTCTTGCTGTTCATCTTTCTCCATTGAATGTAGGTTTTAATCTAGGAAAGACTTGAATGCAATATTAAAGAAAACGAAGTATTCTGAGTGGGAAAAGCAAATCTTTTGTCAAAAAATTAAATTAAATTTTTCTGACATGCTTAGATCGGTTTTTTTCAAATCTGAATTTCAACAAATTTTATTTTGCATACTTCAAATTTCATATAATACGCTTTATTTTTGGCATGTTTTTGAATTAAGCATTAAATAACAGGAGTAATGATCATGTTGGTTTTGCATTTAACGCTGTTAGTTATCCGAGAACACTATATTAACCATTGGAATCGTTCTTAAACAACTGAAAATGACATAGTTTTGTGACTTTCTCGATTTTAAGGTTTAATTCGTTCTGTAGAAAAATTTTTTAGCGAGACATTCTAAAAATTATCGTTGTCGTATAGGGATGGTTGTTACTGGATCGCCAAACTGCGGTATCTGCCACTGCTTTTCGGCTAGATAGTTAATTGATGGACATATTTGTCTACATATGAATAAACAAACATAACTTTTCTTATACTCAAAATTAACAACTTTTATAGCAGTGTCACTTCCTATCATACTGAAAATGTTCAAAGACTTTTTTGTTCTGCATATATATATCGACTTGAGAAAATGATGAAATATTGAATTTTCTTTTAAAAGATGCGCCGTCGAAAGCTCTACAAAACTTGTATAGACCAAATTCTATAACGAGTCGGAAAAGTTCTCGAAATATTTTCTATATGATGAGAAGTGACATTGCTATAGAAGTTGTTCATTTTGAGTATAAGAAAAACTATTAGAACAGGTAAACGGGATTCAATCATACAGCTTTTATAGAGCTTTTCACAGCGCATTTTTTGAAAAAAATTCAAGGTTTTATCATTTATCTAAGCCGAGATATGTGCAAAATAAAAAACTACTACAACCTGATGGACATCCAGTTTTGCAAAAGAAAATAAAAATCTCCTTTTTCTTTCCATACACTTTTTACTTTTTAAACTGCATTTGATGTTCAAAGTAAATATACCAAAAGATGCAGCAACTTCTGGGTTTTCTCTCTATATATAATAAGTTAATAGATAAAAACGTATAGTAATAAAAAAAAACAAAAAAAATCAAAGAGCACAATTTCAATTGTCCTCGACTGTATATCGAATACTACAAAAGACGGTAGCTACATTCGACCTAATCATTGTTGCTGCTGAAACTCATGTTCATTATCTCAAAAAACAAAGCAAAGTTCTCACTTTAAAATCATCATTTTGTGAAGCGAATTAAGAACGAATATGAAACTTTGTAACAACTTTTAAACGAAAATCGTACGACTCTCCAATGTTTAGATCATTACGACACAAATATAGCGATTTCGAGTTACATCGAGATAGTAAAACAATTTTGTGCACTTAGATTTTCGAATTATTATTTCAATGTAGGATTGAAAATATGTCACTGGATTCTTAAAAAATCAGTTCTATAATTCAATTTTGTGTTATTAAAATCATAATGAAAACATCAAGCAACAGAATCAAAATTCATGGGTTGTAATCAAATATCATACTAAGTTATTGTAAAAATTAATTAGACAATACTTATACATTACTTACATTCATTGTGTTAAAGATTCAAAATATATTGTTCAATTTAATAGCCAGTATAGAAAATTTCTAATTAAAACAGACATGTATTTTCAATTTTCATTCAAAAAGAAAAAGAATGACTAACAATTCCAATTATTTGATGTTAATATTTATTTATTCAAGATTTTGATTATCTTAATTTTATCATTACCGTCTACCAGCGACGCTCTACGTTTGACAATCGTGTTCGCACATTTTCTCCTTTTAGGTAAATTATAGTAGATATTAAAAGCTATTCCGTTATATCAGATTTTTTCCTTTGCACAAGTCTTACTTAAATTTGTCTATTAAAAATTAAACTTTTAGATTTTTTTCTAATTAAAAAATGGATGATAATGATGATCAATATCGTTGGGAATCAGGCTATGAAAGAACTTGGTAAATTAGATAGTTCAAAAAAAAAAGAAAATTGTTGAACAAAAATTATGAATTCAATTGTCTATTTCTTTTTTTTTAGGGAAGTTATTCAAGAAGATGAAAGTGGTTCAATTACAGCTACTGTTAATGCTATTAATCAGAAAAATCGACGTAAAGAATTAGCACAATTACCAAATGTTCGCCTTGGCATGGTTCGAAATTTTTATATTTCGCAAAAATCTAAGATTTTATTTCATTGTTTTGTTTTTACTCTAGATGCGTCATCTCTATTTAGTTCTCGATATGTCAGATGCAATGAAAGATCAAGATCTTCGACCTAATCGACTATTTTGTTCTATTGAAGTTTATAAAAGAAAAAACTTTTTTCATTTTTTCTTTATTTTAATTTTAATTTTTGCTTTTTTTTAGCTTTTAAAAGAATTTATATTTCTTTATTTTGATTCAAATCCAATATCTCAAATAGGTATAATAATAACACGAAAGAAACGTACAGAAAAAATAAGTGAATTAGCTGGTAATCCACGTTCACATGTTGCATTACTTGAACAATTAAAATATCAAGAATGTGAAGGTGAAGCATCAATACAAAATGCACTTGAAATGGGATTACAAACATTGAAGTATAACAAAAAAAAAATGAAAACATTTTCATGATAATATTTCTAATAAGTTCTTCTTCTCCTTAGACATATGCCAAAATATTCTAGTCGTGAAATGCTTTTTGTACTTGGATGTTTAACAACATGTGATCCTGGAAATATTTCACAAACAATTAAAGTATAGCTTGTTTTTTTTTCATTTTTTATTGATTGAACTATTTATTTATTTAGATTTGTAAAGAAAATGAAATTCGTTGTTCAGTGATTAGTCTTTCAGCTGAAGTTCGAATTTTTCGAAAATTATGCGTTGATACTAAAGGTAAAAATTTTTTTGTCCACAAACGCAATAATCTCTTTTTTGGTGAAACACGACCTAAAATAAGTGTTGAAGTATAGAGATAGAAATTTGGATCTCTTATAAACATAGGCTGTGGAGTCG